TACTCTTTTGCATGTGCTAAAGAATTTATTACAGTTGATGGTTGAAAACGTCTTTTTATTTCACCTACTGTCAAGCCCTTCAAAAAAATCTATAATGACGAGGTCAGCACGGCCAGCAAATGGGGAGGATGACGGAGTTAAATATGCACCGAGACAGATGAAGCACTGCAATGCGCCTCTGTTGTAAGCTTATTATCCCTTTAGGTGACAAATATCCGAATAGCCAGTAGGCTGACCTCCAGGCGATGCAGCCTTGGTCAGAGCAACTGGAAAAGTATGCCAAAGTAATTTCAAAGCTGACAGTTTTTAAATTATTCGCATGTGCAGAAAAGCGTTAAAACTCGATTCTAGATAAATGTGTCACAGCACTGAATCGAATTTCTGCCTTTGCTTGAGGCAAATAATTATTAATGAAAGCCCAAAAGTTAGAACCCCCTCTGTATTTGCCCTTTATGAAAGGCAGAGGCACTCAGGAAGCAGCATAATTCGTAGCAAATGCTAACAGTAACCATCCAGTCTGTCAGGACTACGAATGGCTCTTCCTTTCAAGGACTGCTTATAAGCAAAACTGGCAGTTGATTTGATTCCTGATATGTCAGCCGCAATTTATCACTGAAATAAGCGAACGAATCGTAGAGGGACTGATTGTTAACTGGAGCGATTTCTTGATAATCAATTAAGTCGACTTCTAAGAAAGTTAATTGCTGAGGAGAAGTCTTGCTTTACTTGAAGATGGCACGCGCCGCATTATTCCTGAGCATAGCTGTGATAGGAGGTCACGGGACTATAATTAGAGCACCTGTCGTTGTTCGTCTACTGTATTTGCGTCAGCATCGGATATCCAGGAACCGCGCCATATGTGACCATAAAAAGTGATTTTTATTGATACAGTAATGAATAAAATTATAATTAGGAAAAGATAAGGCAGAATCAACGAAATCAGCTGGTTGTCCTGGAAAATTGATACAAACACCTTGAAAAAAGCTGAAATGAAATTATTGTAGAGCGCTCTGTTGTTACTCCGGACGGGCTGCATGTCCTAAGTATGTACTTGCTATTCTATTAATGTGCGAGCACTTATTCTGCTTGCACTTAATTTTTATGAGATTCTGCACACTTGTGCAAGTGCAAAAGCCATACGGACAAAAGGTTGTCGGTGTGTGCATGTGTGTATGTTTGCACTTTTCTCACTCATTTTCAACTCAGCAGCCGATGAGGATAGGAGGCTGAAATTTCTGGAACATATTCATGTCCCATTTCTGATGCTCAGTTTTTAAAACAGTCGCTTACGTACGGAGCCTGAAAAACACATGTTTTTTTTGGCGGAAAAAGGATTTCGGGAACCAGACAAGATTGAAAGCTGAAAGTTTACAGGGGCGTCCTGTGCCCTAATTTGAACATAAGGTTTTAAATTTGGCTTGACTCTATTTTTAAAATCCTTGGCTCCTCGTCATTAGTATAGGAGGCTGAAACTTCTGGAGCATTCCAAACTTAGTAGATTTAAAAAAAAGAACTCAGTGTAAGCATTTTGTTTAGTTTCAGTCTTCCCAGTGTTTGATTTACTGAATCAAAAAGGCACAAGTTAAAATCTTTCTCCGCATTCACTTTCTACGCTCTCTTGAGCTACATAGAAGTAACCCGAATTATTATAAATACGAAAAGTGGCCGTGAGTTGGCAAGGCTGCCAATGGCGGCTTTTTTTGAGAAATGCTTAAAAGCGAGTTGGTCATATAAACCTAAATTCCTAGCATGCACCAGTACCAATTTAGCATCGAAACAAATGAACAAATTGCTGTTGATTCGAATCCTCAACAGTCTGTATAGAAACAGTGTCTTAAATTAAAGTACCACAAAACCGCTTTGACTGATGGAGGTAAAATGATATTTCATCCGAAGTTTGTGCATGCAGCAAAGTGGGACTGGTATTTTTTCTCTGTTTTGTTTTGCGGCAGTTTTGCTTAAGTGGG